ACCAACAGAGAGCAATCGCGGAGCAGACAACGGGGCAGACGACGAGTTTGAAGGCTTATGCAACGGCCCACTAAAAGCAGTGAAACCACAAGCACCCCCAAACCCCGGCCATCCCTCAACACTAACAAAGCTTCAATTTAACCTAGCCCGAACCAACAGAGAGCAATCGCGGAGCAGACGACAACTTTTAAGGCTTAAGCAACGGCCCCCTCAAAGCAGTGAAACCACAAGAACCAACAAGACCCGGCAATCTCTTAACACTCACAGTGCTCTAAACCTAACTTAACCCGAACAAACAGAAAACATTCGAGAGGCAGACGCAACACTTTAGGACCTAAGGACCAGCCCCCCTAAAGCAGAGCAAGCGTTCGTGGGAGATGCTCGGGGCGCCCGTGAGCGCAGTCAACATGGACCCCCTTAAGGCAGAGAAAGCCTTCGGGTGAGATGCTCGCACTCGGACCCCTCCGCCTCCGAGCCCCAACCCACCTCGCACCCCTGAAACTTCGCGAGGGGGGACCCGGCCGCGCCAGAAAAAAGTTCAAAGGTTGCGATCCCCAACCCGGAAAAAGTGCCGAAAAACACGATTGTCAGAAACGGGCTTTTTTACCAAACCCCAGCAAACCCATAACAATCAGAAAGACTCAATTTAGTCTAGCCCGAACCAACAGAGAGCAATCGCAGTGCAGACAAGGAGGATTGAGGCTTAAGGACCAGCCCCCTTAAAAGAAAGGGATGCAGCTGCTGGCTTCGCGTGAGATGCTTAGGGCGCCTGTTAGCGCAGTCTCAAAAAACTGCGCTGGCGAACCCTAAACCCTAAACCCTAAACCCTAAACCCTAACCCCTAAACCCTAAAAAACCCTCCCCCCTAACCCGCTAACTACCCCTCACCCTAAACCCTAAACCCTTAAACCCTAAACCCTAAACCCTCAAGAGCATGATAAATAGAAATTGTGTGATTTTCGTTTCGATCTGCAGTTGCAATAGTTTCAAATTTTCGCTAAACGTGTCCAACCAAATCCAGCGGACAAGGCGGGAAGGCTTATCCTCAACCGGTATGGGGTTCCGAGGTGTGGGAGCTCAAGCCGAAGAAGACAGAGGCAAGGACAATCCAGGGTATGGAAGCTTGAGCCTCAACCAATGTGGGTTGCCGAGGTGTGTGGTCTCAGCGACAAGGCTGAGAGGGCTTATCCGGAGAGCTTTTCCTCAAACAAAACAGGAACCTGAAGGTATGCAGTTCAGGAGCTAGCCGACCTTCCCCCTCCCCCTCCCTCTCCCTCCCATGCCCTATTGACGGCCTCCCTTCCAGAGGTGGCAGGGTGGCACGAATTCTCAGGGAAGGTAGTGGCAGAAATCAATGGGGTGCGGGGTCTCCCCCCCGCCCCCCCTCCCCCGCCCTCCCCCCCCCCTCCTGGGCCGGGAGGGTAGTGGGCAGACACCAAAACACAATCCTCAACTAAAATGGGGCGTTGGTTCCTCCCCCACCCTCCCCCCCTCCCTCCCCCTCCCCACCCGGTGCCTCCTCCGGAGGGTGGCACGAGTCTCACGGGGGGTAGTGGGCAGACACCAAAAAACAATCCTCAACTAGAATGGGGTGTGGGGCTCCCGCACCCCTCCCACCCTCCCCCCCCTCCCTCCCCCCCCCACCCGGTGCCCCCCTCCGGAGGGTCCCCCCCCTCCCTCCCCCCCTTCCCTCCCCCGCTCCCTTCCCTCCCCCTCGCTCTGCCCCTCCCACCCCCCTCCCAAACCCGCTCACTTAGACCGCAACCAGCGTGGAGTGCCAGGTGCGTATCCTCAAGAAGAAAAAGGCCGGGAGCGGGAACGAAGCTGTGCAGGCTCGCCTGCATGGTGTCCCAGGTACGTGGTCCCAACCCCAAGAGACCGAAGTGAGGAGGTGAGCGCTGATTATCCTCAATGTGGGGTCCCAGGTGCGTGGTCTCAGTCGAAGAAGGCGGAGGCAGGGACGAGGCCGGAGCACTTATCCTCACCCAATAGGGGGTCCCAGGTGCGTGGTCTCAGCCCGAAGAAGGCGACGAGGCCGGAGCGCTTTTCCTCAACCAATATGTTCCAGGCGCGTGCTCGGAGGCGGGAGCGCTTATCCTCAACCAATATGGGGTCCCAGGTGCGCGCTCTCGCGGACCAGGCCGGCGCAATATGGGGTTCCAGGCGCGTGGTCTCAGCCCGAAGAAGGCGGAGGCGGGGACGAGGCCGGAGCTGGGGTCCCAGGTGCGTGCTCGGCAGGGACGAGGCCGGAGCGCTGATCCTCAACCAATAAGGGGTCCCAGGTGCGAAAGCGGAGGCGGGGACGAGGCCGGAGCGCTTATCCTCGACCAACGTGGAGTCCCAGGTACGCGATCTCGGCCCGAAGAAGGTGAAGGTGGGGACGAGGGCGGAGCACTTATACTCAACCGATATGGGCTCCTAGGTGCGTGCCCTACCGCAGCGTGCATCAGTGCCAGGTGCTTGAAGCCAGAAGAAGGCGAGCTTCAAGAGGAGGCGACAACAAGCTCGAAGGACTTACTCTCAGAATACGTTCTCGGCGCGTTGTCTCAACCTGAAGAAGACAGAGGCGGCGACAAGGCCGGATCGCCTATCCTCAACTGTCATGGGTTCCCAGGTTCGTGGTCTGGAGAGAACAGAAGCCGAGACCAGGCCGGAGTGCCTATCCTCAATCAATATGGGGTCCCAGGTGCGCGGTCTCAACTGGAAGAGGATGGAGGCGGGAACCAGGCCGGAGCACTTCTCCTCAACCAATATCGGGTCCGAGGTGCGTGGTCTCAACTCGAACAGGACGGAGGCGAGGAGAGGCCGGAGTGCCTATCCTCAACCAAGATAGGGTCCCAGGTGCATGGTTTCATCTGGGAGAAAAGAGAAAGGACGAGGCCTCAACCAATATGAGGTCCGAGGTGCGTGACCCCAGCAAAAAGACGACGGAGGCAAGGACAAGGCCGGGGTTCGAAGGGCGTGGCCCCAGGAAGCTCAAGCTGAAGAAGACAGAGGTAAGAACGAGGCCGGGAGGGCTTATCCTCAACCAATATAAGTTTCCGAGGCAAGGACAAGGCCGGGAGGGCCCATCCTCAACCAACATGGGGTTCCGAGGTGTGGAAGTTCAAGCTGAAGAAGACACAGGTAGGGACAAGGCCGGGGGGGGGGGCTCATCCTCAACCAGTATGGGTTTCCGAGGCGTGGAAGCTCAAGCTGAAGAAGGGCAAGGACAAGGCCGGGAGGGTGTATCATCAACTAATATGGGTTTCCAAGACGTGGGGTCTCAAGCTGCAGAAGCGCAACGACAAGGCCGGGAGGGTTTATCCTCAACTAGTACGGGTTTCCGAGGCGTGGAAGCTCACAAGTCGAAGAAGACAGAGGCACGGATAAGGCCGGGAGGGTTTATACTCAACCGATGTGGGTTTCCGGGGTATGGAAGCTCCAGCCGAAGAAGACAGAGGCAGAGACAAGGCGGGAAGGCTTATCCTCAACCGGTATGGGGTTCCGAGGTGTGGAAGCTCAAGCCGAAGAAGACAGAGGCAAGGACAACCCAAGGTATGGAAGCTTGAGCCTCAACCAATGTGGTTGCCGAGGTGTGTGGTCTCAGCGACAAGGCCGAGAGAACAATCCTCAACTAAAATGGGGTGTGGGGTCTTCCCCCCGCCCCCCCTCCCCCTGAGCGCCCTCCCCCCTCCTCCTGGGGCGGGAGGGTAGTGGGCAGACACCAAAAAAACTGAAATGGTGTTGGTTCCCACCCCTCCCCGGCCCCCTCCCCCACCCTCCCCCCTTCCCTCCCCCTCCCCACCCGGTGCCTCCTCCGGGGGGGTGGCACGAGTCTCACGGGGGGTAGTGGGCAGACACCAAAAAACAACCCGCAACCAAGTGGGGTGTGGGTTCCCCTTCCCCCGCACCCCTCCCCACCCTCCCCCCCCCCTCCCCCCCACCCGGTGCCCCCTCCGGAGGGTCCCCCCGCTCCCTCCCCCCCTTCCCTCCCTCCCCTTCCCTCCCCCGAACCCCGCACCGCAAGGCAGTGACCTCCCCACCCTCCTCCCCTCCCAACCCGCTCACTTAGACCGCAACCAGCGTGGAGTGCCAGGTGCGTATCCTCAAGAAGAAGAAGGCCGGGAGCGGGAACGAAGCCGTGCAGGCTCGCCCCCAGGTACGTGGTCCCAACCCCAAGAGACCGAAGTGAGAGGTGAGCGCTGATTATCCTCAACCAATGTGGGGTTCCAGGTGCGTGGTCTCAGTCGAAGAAGGCGGAGGCAGGGACGAGGCCGGAGCACTCATCCTCAACCAATATGGGGTCCCAGGTGCGTGGTCTCAGCCCGAAGAAGGCGACGAGACCGGAGCGCTTATCCTCAACCAATATGTTCCAGGCGCGTGCTCGGAGGCGGGAGCGCTTATCCTCAACCAATATGGGGTCCCAGGTGCGTGCTCTCGCGGACCAGGCCGGCGCAATATGGGGTTCCAGGCGCGTGGTCTCAGCCCGAAGAAGGCGGAGGCGGGGACGAGGCCGGAGCTGGGGTCCCAGGTGCGTGCTCGGCAGGGACGAGGCCGGAGCGCTTATCCTCAACCAATAAGGGGTCCCAGGGGCGAAAGCGGAGGCGGGGACGAGGCCGGAGCGCTTATCCTCGACCAACGTGGAGTCCCAGGTACGCGATCTCGGCCCGAAGAAGGTGAAGGTGGGGACGAGGGCGGAGCACTTATCCTCAACCGATATGGGGTCCTAGGTGCGCGCCCTACCGCAGCGTGCATCAGTGCCAGGTGCTTGAAGCCAGAAGAAGGCGAGCTTCAAGAGGAGGCGACAACAGGCTCGAAGGACTTACTCTCAGAATACGTTCTCGGCGCGTGGTCTCAACCTGAAGAAGACGGAGGCGGCGACAAGGCCGGATCGCCTATCCTCAACTGTCATGGGTTCCCAGGTTCGTGGTCTGGAGAGAACAGAAGCCGAGACCAGGCCGGAGTGCCTATCCTCAAGCAATATGGGGTCCCAGGTGCGCGGTCTCAACTTGAAGAGGATGGAGGCGGGAACCAGGCCGGAGCACTTGTCCTCAACCAATATCGGGTCCGAGGTGCGTGGTCTCAACTCGAACAGGACGGAGGCGAGGAGAGGCCGGAGTACCTATGCAAGGACAAGGCTGGGAGGGCCCATCCTCAACCAACATGGGGTTCCGAGGTGCGGAAGTTCAAGCTGAAGAAGACACAGGTAGGGACACGGCCGGGGGGGGGGCTCATCCTCAACCAGTATGGGTTTCCGAGGCGTGAAAGCTCAAGCTGAAGAAGACAGGGGCAGGGACAAGGCCGGGAGGGCTCATCCTCAACCAATATGGGGTTCCGAGGTGTGGAAGTTCAAGCTGAAGAAGACAGAGGCAGGGACAAGGCCGGGGGTGAGCCATCCTCAACCAATATGGGTTTCCGAGGCGTGGAAGCTCAAGCTGAAGAAGGGCAAGGACAAGGCCGGGAGGGTTTATCATCAACCAATATGGGTTTCCAAGACGTGGCGTCTCAAGCTGCAGAAGCGCAACGACAAGGCCGGGAGGGTTTATCCTCAACCAGTATGGGTTTCCGAGGTGTGGAAGCTCACAAGTCGAAGAAGACAGAGGCAAGGCCGGGAGGGCTTATCCTCAAACCAATGGGTTTCCGAGGCGTGGAAGCTCAAGCTGAAGAAGAATATCCTCAACCAATATGGGTTTCCGAGGCGTGGAAGCTCAAGCTGAAGGAGACGGAGGCAAGGACAAGGCCGGGAGAGCTTCTCCTCAACCAATATGGGTTTCCGAGGCGTAGAAGCTCAAGCTGAAGAAGACAGAGGCAAGGACAAGGCCGGGAGGTCTTATCCTCAACCAATATGGGTTTCCGAGGCGTGGAAGCTCAAGCTGAAGAAGGGCAAGAACAAGGCCGGGAGGGTTTATCCCCAACCAATATGGGTTTCCCTCAATCTGCAGAAGGGCAACGACAAGGCCGGGAGAGTGTATCCTCAACCAATATGGGTTTCCGAGGCGTAGAAGGCTCAAGCTGAAGAAAAGAAGAATATCCTCAACCAATATGGGTTTCCGAGGCGTGGAAGCTCAAGCTGAAGGAGACGGAGGCAAGGACAAGGCCGGGAGAGCTTCTCCTCAACCAATATGGGTTTCCGACGCGTAGAAGCTCAAGCTGAAGAAGACAGAGGCAAGGACAAGGCCGGGAGGACTTATCCTCAACCAATATGGGTTTCCGAGGCGTGGAAGCTCAAGCTGAAGAAGGGCAAGAACAAGGCCGGGAGGGTTTATCCACAACCAATATGGGTTTCCCTCAAGCTGCAGAAGGGCAACGACAAGGCCGGGAGAGTGTATCCTCAACCAATATGGGTTTCCGAGGCATGAAGGCTCAAGCTGAAGAAGACAGAGGCAAGGACAAGGCCGGGAGAGTGTATCCTCAACCAATATGGGTTTCCGAGGTGTGGAAGCTCAAGCCGAAGAAGACAGAGGCAAGGACCAGACCGGGAGGGCTTACCCTCAACCAATATGGGTTTCCGAGGCGGGAAGCTCAAGCGGAAGAAGACAGAGGCAAGGACAAGACCGGGAGGGCTTACCCTCAACCAATATGGGTTTCCGAGGCGTGAAGCTCAAGCGGAAGAAGACAGAGGCACGGAGGAGAAGACAGAGGCAAGGACACGACCGGGAGGGCTTATCCTCAACCAATATGGGTTTCCGAGGCGTGGACGCTCCAGCGGAAGAAGACAGAGGCAAGGAGGAGGCCGGGAGGGCTTATCCTCAACCAATATGGGTTTCCGAGGCGTGGACGCTTAAGCGGAAGAAGACAGAGGCAAGGAGGAGGCCGGGAGGGCTTATCCTCAGCCAATATGGGTTTCCGAGGCGTGGACGCTCAAGCCGAAGAAGACGGGGGCAAGGACCAGGCCGGGAGGGCTTATCCTCAACCAATATGGGTTTCCGAGGCGTGGAAGCTCAAGCGGAAGAAGACAGAGGCAAGGAGGAGGCCGGGAGGGCTTATCCTCAACCAATATGGGTTTCCGAGGCGTGGAAGCTCAAGCGGAAGAAGACGGAGGCAAGGACGAGGCCGGGAGGGCTTATCCTCAATCAATATGGGTTTCCGAGATGTGGAAGCTCAAGCCGAAGAAGACGGTGTGGAAGCTCAAGCTAAACAAGACAGAGGCAAGGACACGGCCGGGAGGGCTTATCCTCAATACGGAGTCCCATTCAGGCGAACACTGAAGGAGACGGAGTCGCCGAAGGCGAGCCATGGAGTATCCGCGCTCGCAAGCGGGACAATTGCAAAAGGATATCAGAGAAAGAGACCATCACTGAGCATGTAGTGCAGCCAGACGCATGCAGGAGTACCTGTTCCCAGCAGCTTATGAACGCAGCTCTTGTTCATTGAGCAATTCCTAGCCAGCGGTCCCCCTCGGAGAAGCTATGGCGACAGGGACAATCTGTTTCGAGAGATCGGAAGGTATACTGCGGTGCTGCGCCCGCACCTGAGGATGTTTCGCGGGAAACTACTTCTCATTTACTCGGCTTTGTTTTTACGCCAGGAGTGCAAGGAATATGCCCGATACTTGGGCATCGACCCCGGATACGAGGGAGAAGAGACACACAACGCGATGTTGTGCCCGAGCCTCGGACGCTCTACGAGTGAGGAGTCCTGATATGCCGTTTACCTTTATCGAGGCCCTCCCTGTGCACGCCGACTCGGGTTGTGTCCGTCGGGGCCTTAAGAAGCGCTCGTGATGTCTCTGCTGAACACGATGGCGCTGCAGGCCCCGCCGCCGTGACAGAGCCGGGAAACCGGAGCGCGAAGCTCCGAGCCCGTTGGACAGCATCAAGAGCCAACTGGGCGTCAGGGGCCGAGCAACGCACACCAAGCCAGCATCTGCCGACGGTGGTTGACGCTAGTTGCGCTAGGCCTGTGCCACCGTCGAAGAGAAAAGAAATCTTCTCAGGAAGAATGGGTGGGCAGGCCAGCAAGCAAGAGCGAGAGAACAGAACCTGCACACTGACGTGCAACCAGGATACATTTGGCAAAGGGTGCCGCACGGCGCGTGGATACCCTGGTGGTATCTTTCGGACAGCATTTGTTTCTGGGAAGAGGATGTCTTCCAGGCCGGACCAGCACAACGAAGAAGAACATGCGGGCACGTCCCTGCCACAGCACAGCCCAGGAGGCCACGGCAGCCGTCTGAGCGCCAGGTCCGGCGATAAGAACCTCTTCCCTTGAGAGTCCAAAAGGTGCACGGGAAGCACTTGCATCACGCGCATGCACTCTTGGGGTATGCCCGATGACTACGAGCGACTCCTATCCGACGCAGCTGTTATTCAGCATTCAGTAGACACATACGGGGAGATATAGCATGGTCTCAACCCGAGGAAGGCAGGGGCGGGGTCGAGGCCAGGGCGTTTATCCTCAACCAATATGGGGTTCCAGGCACGTGGGCTCAACCCGAGATGAAGACGGAGGCGGGGACGAGGCCGGAGCGCTTATCTTCAACACACGTATACTCAACCAATATGGGGCTTCAGGTGCATGGTCTCAACCTGAGAAGAACACGGAGGCGGGGATCAGGCCAGAGATATCCTCAACCAATATGGGTTTCCGAAGTCTGGGATCTCAGGCCGGAGGCGGGGACGTATCCTCAACCAAGATGGGGTTTCAGGTGCATGGTTTTAAGCTGAGAAGACGGCAGAGGCGGGGACGAGGCCGGAGCGCTTGTCCTCAACCAATATGGGGTTTCAGGGAAAGCGAAGGCGGGGACAAGGCCGGAGCGCTTATCCTCAACCAAGATGGGGTCCCAACCCGAAGAAAGCAGAGGCGGGGACGAGGCCAGAGCGGTTACCCTCAACCAATATGGGGTTCCAGGTGTGATGTGACGTCGCGCAGCCCGAAGAAACTGGAGGCGAGGACGAGGCCGGAGCGCTTACCCTCAACCAATATGGGGTTCCAGGTGTGACGTCTCGCAGCCCGAAGAAACTGGAGGCGGGGACGAGGCCGGAGCGCTTACCCTCAACCAATATGGGGTTCCAAGTGTGACATCTCACAGCCCGAAGAAAGTGGAGGCGGGAACTACGGGGTCCCAATCCGGAGAAGGCGAAGGCGGGGAAGAGGCCGGAACGCTTATCCTCAACCGATCCAGCACGCTTTTCCTCAACGTCCCAGGTGCGTGGTCTCAACCTGAAGAAAGCGGAGGGGACGAGGCCGGAGGGCTTATCCTCAACCAATATGGGGTCCCAACCCGAAGAAGGCGAAGGCGGGGACGAGGCCGGAGCGCTTATCCTCAACAAAAAAAGGGTCGGAGGTGCGTGATCTCAGCCCGAAGAAGACGGCGGCGGGGAGACCGCAGCACTTCTCCTCAACCAACATGGGGTCCCAGGTGTGAAGTCTCATCCCGGAGAAGGAGGAGGCGGGGACGAGGCCAAAGCGCTTATCCTCAACCAATATGGGGTCCTAGGTGCGTGTTCAGACAGCCCGAAGAAGGCGGAGGCAGGGACCGGGCCGGAGCGCTTATCCTCAACCACTATGGTGTCCCAGGTGCGTGGTCTGGCAGCCCGAAGAAGGGGGAGGCGGGGTATCCTCAACCAATATGGGCTCGCAGGTGCGTGGTCTCACAGCCCGAAGAAGGCGGAGGCGGGGACGAGGCCGGAGCGTTTATCCTCAACCAAGATGGAGTTTCAGGTGCACGGGTTTAAGCTGAGAAAACGGCGGAGGCGCGGACGAGGCCGGAGAGCTTGTCCTCAACCAATATGGGGTTTCAGGGAAAGCGGAGGCGGGAACGAGGCCGGAGCGCTTATCCTCAACCAATGTGGGGTCCGAGGCGTGTGGTCTTAACCTGAGGAACGCAAGCCAGGGACCAAGATGGAGGGCTTATCCTCGGGGTCTCGGCTGCGTGGCCCCAAGTGAGGGTTCTCATTCTTTCGAAGACGGAGCCAAGGACAAGGCCGGGAGGGCTTATCCTCAATCAGTATGGGATTCCGAAGCGTGGGAGCTCAGTCTGAAGAAAGCATCTCTAGATTTAATGGTCCGCGGTGATCCCGGCGCTCAGTCTCCTGTGGTGACGAGGCCGGAGGGCTTATCCTCAACCAAGATGGGATTTCAGGTGCGTGGTCTGAAGCTGAGAAGACGGCGGAGGCGGGGACGAAGCCGGAGCGCTTATCCTCAGCCAATATGGGGTCCCAACCCGAAGAAAGCAGAGGCGGGGACGAGGCCAGAGCGGTTACCCTCAACCAATATGGGGTTCCAGGTGTGTGACGTCTCGCAGCCCGAAATAACTGGAGGCGAGGACGAGGCCGGAGCGCTTACCCTCAACCAATATGGGGTTCCAGGTGTGACGTCTCACAGCCCGAAGAAACTGGAGGCGGGGACGAGGCCGGAGCGCTTACCCTCAACCAATATGGGGTTCCAAGTGTGACATCTCACAGCCCGAAGAAAGTGGAGGCGGGAACTACGGGGTCCCAATCCGGAGAAGGCGGAGGCGGGGAAGAGGCCGGAACGCTTATCCTCAACCGATCCAGCACGCTTTTCCTCAACGTCCCAGGTGCGTGGTCTCAACCTGAAGAATCCGGAGAAGGCGGAGGCGGGGAAGAGGCCGGAACGCTTATCCTCAACCGATCGAGGCCGGGAGGGCTTATCCTCAACCAATATGGGTTTCCGAGGTGTGGAAGCTCAAGCCGAAGAAGACGGAGGCAAGGACGAAGCCGGGAAAGCTTATCCTCAGCCAATATAGGTTTCGAGGGGCTTATCCTCAACCAATATGTGTTTCCGAGGTGTGGAAGCTCGCCGAAGAAGTCACAGGCAAGGACGAGGCCGGGAGTGTGGAAGCTCAAGCGGAAGAAGACACGGGAGTGTGGAAGCTCAAGCGGAAGAAGACAGAGGCAAGGACGAGGCCGGGAGGGCTTATCCTCAACCAATATGGAATTCCCGAGGTGTGGAAGCTCAAGATGAAGAAGACAGAGGCAAGGACGAGGCCGGGAGGGCTTATCCTCAACCAATATGGGTTTCCGAGGCGCGGAAGACAGAGGCAAGGACGAGGCCGGGAGGGCTTATCCTCAACCAATATGGGGTTCCGAGGTGTGGAAGGGCTTATCCTCAACCAATATGGGGCTTCCGAGGTGTGGAAGCACAAGCTGAAGAAGACAGAGGTAAGGACGAGGCCGGGAGGGCTTATCCTCAACCAATATGGGGTTCCGAGGTGCGGAAGCTCAAACTGAAGAAGTGCGTAGTCCCAGGTGCGCGGTCTCAACCCGAAGGAAACGAGACTCGGGCCAAGGCCAGAGGGTTTATCCCCAACCAATCGCAGTCTCAGGGGCCTGGTTGTGCAAAGAGCTATGTGTGTCGACACGCGAAGCTGTTGCCCAAGAGAACTTGCCCAAGAGCGACAAGGCTCGCCGAGACCTGCGCAGTGTCCAACAGGACCCCGCCATGTTGTCAGAGCAGTCTTCAGGGCGATACATCGTCAGCGACGACGTGGAGCTGCCAGAGGATCGCGTCCAGTACAGCGACGTGAACCTACTTCGACAAGCCCTCCTCGACGCCCGTGAGTTCCTTCGCTCAGGCTATACGGAAATCCACTTCCGAGTCTGGAGGCGCGACGAACCGATGAAGCTTCTCTGCGCACGGAGTGCCAAGCAGCATGAGGGCACGATGGAACTCTACCTCACCTACGAGGACGGCGGCGAGGAAGAGGGCCTGCTGCATCCGGCAGGAACCGGTTGCACTGGACCGTTGCTCGCGTTTGCCAGCAGACGCCAAGACGGCATTCCAGCTCCTCGACGACGGCTGGGACGTGCTCATACAATCTTCTTCTTCAAGAACGATCTGGTGGAGTGGACGGCGGCTCGCGGCGAGAGAGAACGTTTTAGTGTCACCAGAGTAGTTTTAGACTGCGCAATGCGCTGAACGGCTCGAGCTTCACTCACCTAGGCGAGGCAAAAAGGTGCAAGGAGGGCCTGGTGCATCACATGCGGCCGCGCTCCTCCATCATGTCGCAGTCGGGCATACAGGTGCTCAGTCTCAGCGGGAACAACGTTGGAGGCGGAGACACGGACGAGTCCCGAAGGCTCGCATGCCGAGAGATTCGCCTATCCTCAACCAATACGGCGTCGCAGGTACTCCGGAAGCAAGGCCAGAGCGCTATGGGGCTCGGGGTCCGCGGTCCCAGCCCGAAGAAGGCCGCCGGAACGAGGCTGGAACGTTTATCCTCAACCACTGTGGGATTCGAGATCAGCAGCCCAGAAGCCGAAGAAGGCGAAGGCGGGGACGAGGCCGGAGCGCTTATCCTCAACCAAGATGGGGTTTCAGGTGCTTGGTCTGAAGCTGAGAAGACGGCGGAGGCCGGAGCGCTTATCATCAACCAAGTTGGGGTGTCAGGTGCATGGTTTGAAGCTGAGAAGACGGCGGAGGCGGGGACGAGGCCGGAGCGCTTATCATCAACCAAGATGCTTATCATCAACCAAGATGGGGTCTCAGGTGCGTGGTCTCAAGCCGAAGACGGCGGAGGCGGGGACGAGGCCGGAGCGCTTATCATCAACCAAGATGGGGTCTCAGGTGCGTGGTCTCAAGCCGAAGAAGGCGAAGGCGGGGACGAGGCCGGAGCGCTTATCCTCAACCAAGATGGGGTGTCAGGTGCGTGGTCTGAAGCTGAGAAGACGGCGGAGGTAGGGACGAGGCCGGAGCGCTTATCCTCAACCAAGATGGGGTTTCAAGTGCTTGGTCTGAAGCTGAGAAGACGGCGGAGGCGGGGACGAGGCCGGAGCACTTATCCTCAACCAATATGGGGTCTCAGGTGCTTGGTCTGAAGCTGAGAAGACGGCGGAGGCAAGGCCAATATGGGGTCTCAGGTTCTTGGTCTGAAGCTGAGAAGACGGCGGAGGCGGGGACGAGGCCGGAGCGCTTATCCTCAACCAAGATGGTGTCTCAGGTGCGTGGTCTCAAGCCGAAGACGGCGGAGGCGGGGACGAGGCCGGAGCGCTTATCCTCAACCAAGATGGGGTGTCAGGTGCATGGTCTGAAGCTGAGAAGACGGCGAAGGCGGGGACGAGGCCGGAGCACTTGTCCTCAACCAATATGGGGTCTCAGGTGCGTGGTTTTAAGCTGAGAAGACGGCGGAGGCGGGGACGAGGCCGGAGCGCTTATCCTCAACCAAGATGGGGTTTCAGGTGCTTGGTCTGAAGCTGAGAAGACGGCGGAGGTAGGGACGAGGCCGGAGCGCTTATCCTCAACCAAGATGGGGTGTCGGGTGCATGGTTTTAAGCTGAGAAGACGGCGGAGGCGGGGACGAGGCCGGAGCGCTTGTCCTCAACCAATATGGTGTCCCAGGTGCATGCTCCCAGGCACGAGACTTCAACCTCAAGAAGAACGAGGCCGGGACGAGACTGGAGGGCGTATCCTCAAAGAATATGCGGTCCCAGGTGCATGTTCCCAAGCGCGAGGCCTCAAATTCACAAAGACAAGGCCGGGATAGGCGTACACTTCACAAGTCGTCGTGATGAAGAGATCGCACAGTCAGCTATGCACGCATGTTCCAGACTAGTCGGATCATGGACCGGTGGCTTTGAAAGGGAGGCAAGCGAGCCTGTGGCACAGCTGCAACTGGGGCTCAGGCGTGCGATAGAAACCAGTAGTTCACGACAGCTCGACGCGATGGATACACCGGTACTTTTCAGCGCCTTAAACTGCACTTGCCGGACGGCAGCAAAGAAATGGACACGTCTACCCCACAACCTGAAGCTGGCCATTTCGCAGTTCACGAGACGCTCGGATTGGGCACTGAGGCTAGGACACCTAGCGCTGATCGGTGCACTCTCCAGGTACCCGATGCTGGCTTCGAGAGCCACAGACGACTTCGACTTTGGCCGGCGACTCCAATACTTTTCAGTCCAGGATCTACAAGGGCTTCCGAGAAACACCAAGAAGACCATCCGTCTCTGCATCGCGAACCTTCGGGCTTTCGAGAAGAAGAAGAAGCAGAAGGAGAGGACAGAGCTCCGGAAGCAGAAGCAGGAGGAACTCCTGAGACGGAAATTCGAAGCAACAAAGATTGTGGTCGAGCGCGCGGCCGAAGCTCTGATAATGATCAGAGAACACATTCGCCGTAGGACACCTAGCTGAAGGACATTGTTTCACACGTGACACAGCAATAACACGGGAAGAAAGGTGAGTTGCGAGAATACATAGATCGTCTTACGTCAGTGTCCGGTGACATTATCTGCAAGCACGATGGGATTGCGAGGCTTGCCTGAAGAAGACAGAAGCAAGGACACGGCCGGGAGGGCTTATCCTCGACCAATATGGGGTTCCGAGATCTGGAAGCTCAGGCTGAAGAAGACGGAGGCGAGGACAAGGCCGGGAGGGCTTATCCTCAACCAATATAAGGTTGCAAGGCGTGAGAGCTCAAGCTGAACGAGATGGATGCAAGGACACGGCCGGGAGGGCGTAACCCCAACCAATAAGGGGTTCCGAGGCGTGGGATCTCAAGCAGAAGACGGCGGAGGCGAGGACGAGGCCGGAGCACTTATCCTCAACCAAGATGGAGCTTCAGGTTCTCAAGCAGGAGACGGCGGAGGCGGGGACGAGGCCGGAGCACTTATCCTCAACCAAGATGGGGTGTCAGGTGTGTAGTCTCAAGCCGAGAAGACGGCGGAGGCCGGGACGAGGCCGGAGCACTTATCCTCAACCAAGATGGGGTTTCAGGTGCATGGTTTTAAGCTGAGAAAACGGCCGAGGCGGGGACGAGGCCGGAGCGCTTATCCTCAACCAATATGGGCTCCACGAGGCCGGAGAAATTATCCTCAACCAACATGGGCTCTCAGGTGTGTGGTCTCAACCCGAAGAAGGCGGAGGCAGGGACGAAGCCGGGAAGCCTTGTCCTCAACCAATATGGGCTCCCAGGTGCGTGGTCTCCACCCGAAGAAGGCGGAGGCGGGGACGAAGCCGAAGAGCTTATCCTCAACCAAGATGGGGTTTCAGGTGCTTGATCTGAAGCTGAGAAGACGCCGGAGGCCGAGACGAAGCCGGAGCGCTTATCCTCAACCAAGATGGGGTTTTAGGTGCTTGGTCTGAAACTGAGAAGACGGCGGAGGCGGGGACGAAGCCGGAGCGCTTATCCTCAACCTAGATGGGGTTTCAGGTGCTTGGTCTGAAGCTGAGAAGACGGCGGAGGTAGGGACGAGGCCGGAGCGCTTATCCTCAACCAAGATGGGTGTCAGGTACACGGTTTTAAGCGGAGAAGACGGCGGAGGCGGGGACAAGGCCGGAGCACTTGTCCTCAACCAATATGGGGTTTCAGGGAAGGCGGAGGCGGGGACGAAGCCAGAGCGCTTATCCTCAACCAAGATGGGGTTTCAGGTGCTTGGTCTGAAGCTGAGAAGACGGCACAGGCGGGGACGAAGCCGGAGCGCTTAAGTCTCGGGTGCATGGTCTCAAGCCGAGGAAGACGGCGGAGGCGGGGACGAGGCCGGAGCACTTGTCCTCAACCAATATGGGGTTTCAGGGAAGGCGGAGGCGGGGACGAAGCCAGAGCGCTTATCCTCAACCAAGATGGGGTTTCAGGTGCTTGGTCTGAAGCTGAGAAGACGGCACAGGCGGGGACGAAGCCGGAACGCTTAAGTCTCGGGTGCATGGTCTCAAGCCGAGGAAGGCGAAGGCGGGGACGAGGCCGGAGCGCTTATCCTCAACCAAGATGGGGTTTTAGGTGCACGGTTTTAAGCTGAGAAGACGGCGAAGGCACGGACGAGGCCGGAGTGCTTGTCCTCAACCAATATGGGGTTTCAGGGAAAGCGGAGGCAGGGACGAGGCCGGAGCACTTATCCTCAACCAAGATGGGGTTTCAGGTGCACGGTTTTAAGCTGAGTAGACGGCGAAGGCACGGACGAGGCCGGAGTGCTTGTCCTCAACCAATATGGGGTTTCAGGGAAAGCGGAGGCGGGGACGAGGCCGGAGCGCTTATCCTTAACCAATGTGGGTTCCGAGGTGTGTGGTCTTAACCTGAGGAACGCAAGCCAGGGACGACAGCCGCCACGCTAGTTCGGTGCCAGGCGAAGAGGTGCAGCCGCCACGCTTATCCTCAACCAGAATGGGGGCCAGGAGGCACAGCCGCCACGCTTACCCGGGGCGAAGCAAAGAGGCACAGCCGCCACGCTTATCCTCAACCGGAACGGGGGCCAGGAGGCACAGTCGTCACGCTTAAGAGGCGCAGCCGCCACGCTTATCCTCAACCAGAATAGGGGCCAGGGGGTACAGCCGCCACGCTTATCCGGTGCCAGGCGAAGAGGTGCAGCCGCCACGCTTATCCTCAACCAGAATGGGGGTCAGGGGGAAGAGGCGCAGCCGCCACGCTTATCCTCAACCAGAATAGCAGCCGCCACGCTTATCCGGTGCCAGGCGAAGACAGCCGCCACGCTTATCCTCAACCAGAATGGGGGCCAGGGGGAAGAGGCGCAGCCGCCACGCTTATCCTCAACCAGAATAGGGGCCAGGGGGTACAGCCGCCACGCTTATCCGGTGCCAGGCGAAGAGGTGCAGCCGCCACGCTTATCCTCAACCAGAATGGGGGACAGGGGGAAGAGGCGCAGCCGCCACGCTTATCCTCAACCAGAATAATAGGGCCCAGGGGGTACAGCCGCCACGCTTATCCGGTGCCAGGCGAAGAGGTGCAGCCGCCACGCTTATCCTCAACCAGAATGGGGGCCAGGGGGAAGAGGCGCAGCCGCCACGCTTATCCTCAACCAGAATAGGGGCCAGGGGGTACAGCCGCCACGCTTATCCGGTGCCAGGCGAAGAGGTGCAGCCGCCACGCTTATCCTCAACCAGAATTGGGGGAAGGCCAGGCGAAGAGGTGCAGCCGCCACGCTTATCCTCAACCAGAATAGGGGCCAGGGGGTACAGCCGCCACGCTTATCCGGTGCCAGGCGAAGAGGTGCAGCCGCCACGCTTATCCTCAACCAGAATGGGGGCCAGGGGGAAGAGGCGCAGCCGCCACGCTTATCCTCAACCAGAATAGGGGGCAGGGGGTACAGCCGCCACGCTTATGCCAGGCCGAAGAGGTGCAGCCGACACGCTTAAGCCTCAACAGAATGGGGGCCAGGGGGAAGAGGCGCAGCCGCCACGCTTATCCTCAACCAGAATGGGGGCCAGGGGGAAGAGGCGCAGCCGCCACGCTTATCTCAACCAGATAGGGCCAGGGGACAGCGCCACGCTTATCCGGTGCCAGGCGAATCCTCAACCAGAATGGGGGCCAGGGGGAAGAGGCGCAGCCGCCACGCTCCTCACCAGAATAGGGGCCAGGGGGTACAGCCGCCACGCTTATCCGGTGCCAGGCGAAGAGGTGCAGCCGCCACGCTTATCCTCAACCAGAATGGGGGCCAGGGGGAAGAGGCGCAGCCGCCACGCTTATCCTCAACCAGAATAGGGGCCAGGGGGTACAGCCGCCACGCTTATCCGGTGCCAGGCGAAGAGGTGCAGCCGCCACGCTTATCCTCAACCAGAATGGGGGCCAGGGGGAAGAGGCGCAGCCGCCACGCTTATCCTCAACCAGAATAGGGGCCAGGGGGTACAGCCGCCACGCTTATCCGGTGCCATGCGAAGAGGTGCAGCCGCCACGCTTATCCTCAACCAGAATGGGGGCCAGGGGGAAGAGGCGCAGCCGCCACGCTTATCCTCAACCAGAATAGGGGCCAGGGTGTACAGCCGCCACGCTTATCCGGTGCCAGGCGAAGAGGTGCAGCCGCCACACTTATCCTCAACCAGAATGGGGGCCAGGGGGAAGAGGCGCAGCCGCCACGCTTATCCTCAACCAGAATAGGGGCCTAGGGGGTACAGCCGCCACGCTTATTCGGTGCCAGGCGATGAGGTGCAGCCGCCACGCTTATCCTCAACCAGAATGGGGGCCAGGGGGAGAGGCGCAGCCGCCACGCTTATCCTCAACCAGAATAGGGGCCAGGGGGTACAGCCGCCACGCTTATCCGGTGCCAGGCGAAGAGGTGCGCCGCCACGGCTTATTCTAAAAGAATGGGGGCCAGGGGGGTAAGAGGCGCCAGCCGCCACGCTTATTCCTCAAACAGAATGCCATGTGGGGCAGGGGGTTATCAGACGGCCAAGCTTATCCGGTGCCAGGCGAAGAGGTGCAGCCGCCACGCTTATCCTCAAGCAGCATTGTGCGGAGGCGGGGACAAGGCCGGAGCGCTTATCCTCAACCAATATGGGGTTCCAGGTGCGTGGTCTCAGCCCGAAGAACACGGAGGCGGGGACAAGCAACCAATATGGGGTCCCCGGTGCGTGGTGTCAACCTGAAGAAGACGGAGGCGGGGACAAGGCCGGAGCGCTTATCCTCAACCAACATGGGGTCCCAGGTGCGTGGTCTCAACCTGAAGAAGACGGAGGCGCATGCAGAAGTGGTTGCTTATCCTCAACCAATATGGTCTCCCAGGTGCTTATACTCAACCTGAAAGAAGACGAAGGCAAGGGACAAGGCCGGAGGGCTCGCATGGAGAGGTGGTGCGCTTATCCTCAACCAATATGGGGCACCAGGTGCTTATCTTCAACCTGAAGAAAGACAGAGACGGGACGAGGCCGGAGGGCTCGCATGCAGAAGTGGCTCGCTTATCCTCAACCAAAAGGGGGTACCAGGTGCCTGCTCATGCTCTAATGACACTCCCCCATTAAGTAAATTCTGCAACAGTGCACACTGTGTGCAAGTGCTCGGTATGCATGACAAGCCGAGTTAGTTCCGCTCGCGTGGGCTCAATGTGAAGAGTCGTAGTCCTGCTCTGTGTCCGAGCTTCGGCCTATAGGTAGGCGCTTACGGCTGGAATCTCAGTCGTCACAACAGCGAGTGCCTAAGATCATGCCCACAGCCCTTGTTTCTGAGATCGACCGGCGCAACAGAGATGTCCGAGAACATGGGCGAGGGTTCCAGAAGCTCAGACCACTCGATTCGGGGCTCCGACCTGGAGGACTGCGAGGACCCTTTCGATTGTTGGGACTGGGTCGACGCAGAAATGCAGCACGACGCCGAGGAAGATGCACGTGGAGGAACAAGATGGAACAAAGAGATGGAGATGCAGAGGGAGTTCAGCGAGCGTCTTGCTGACCTGACGGTGAGGTACCTGAACATGCAGGGTGCCGAGATCCATTCCTCGAAGCCTTATCGCCTGCTCTGCCAACTCGAACCGCCCGGATCTTTCCGGGAAGCTTGGCTCGCCCAGCTGCACGAGGGCAACAACCCCGATCGCTGCCTATCCCTGCAAGAACTACGTGTCAAATTTCAGAAGACCATGAAGCCCATCCCGCCGGAAACGCTGCAGCATCGCAGCACCAGAGAGGTCTTGCTGTTGGACTTGGACAGCAGTCCTGCAGGACCCATTCCCATCGAAGGCACGCAACTGGTTTTGGACGGAGACGTGATCAGCGACGCTTGGAGCTGGCGCGAACTCCTGGACCGCAGCTTCCACGACGAGGTCGTGGACGTGCAAGTTGTCTACATGTCAAAGCAAGCCACAGACCGCTAGAGCTCCAAACGCGAGCAGCAACAAACGCAAAAAGGAGCGAGCGCTGCAGCAAGGGATACGGCAGTCTGGACACGGCCGGTTTGAGCTGTCGTTGCATCTCAGTCCTGCATCGGTCAATGACATGGCTTGTAGACTCAATAGACGGTGATCCAGTCTGGAATCACCTGTTCCTGAAAAGATTTTGTGCTGTTCTTCGTTTGATTAATTTGCTCGCTGATGGAACATGCTTGAGATTTGATCGCAGCCGTGCGGATACAGCCTTAGCTGAGCTTAGGAACCGCCTTGTCGCAATTCGTTAGGATGGCGCCTTGCCCACGGTGTGGCTGGCCAATGCAAGGCCGAGGAAAAGGATGGTGCAGCAATCGACAGTGCCGCGAAGCTCAGAAAGAGGAGAACCTCCGCCGGAAGAGCGAGGAGAAGAGTGCTCAACAGCAGAAACGTGCTGCGCAAGGAGCGGGCAGCCGTGGACCTGTGCCTGTTGCAAACAGCACTCGGGCCCAGAGGCAACAACTTCAAGCTGACCGTGCAGAAGAAGGACTTGGCAGCCGCGGGCCTTTGCCCACGGAGAAAAGCAGACAGGCGCAGGGACAACAACTTCAAGCTCAACGTGCAGAAGAAGGACTTGGCAGCC